ATTAACAAGATAATATTTATCACATCATGCCTCAACTTGTGTGCACAGGCATCATATCACAATACAATTTCACCAACTTGTCTTTAAACAGATTTGCACCTTGGATAATGTCTTATTTCAAGATAAAATAATCATACTTTGCAAACAATTGAAAATGGTAAAAAATGTGAAAAGAGAAAGTAATTCAAGGAAAATAAAGAAACCCTGAAAATATTTGTTTATTTAAGTTAGAAGTTTGTAATCAAATTAACAAATACTTCAACATTAGTTTTATTGACATTACTTTAAAACCTTAATGTGTTTCTACCAATTTTGAGCATAACACAGATTTTTACTCAGCACAAGTTTTTTTTTTTACAGTAAATTCCAAATATTAAATCTGAACAAACAACAATAACAAATTATTAAGAATCAGTACAAGTATTTTGGTATTTTCATTTCATTGATTCCTTGGTGAAATTTTAAGAGAACTAGTGGTATGAACATTTAAAGCATTACACTTTATAAAGTTTAAACAAAATGCTTGGTAATGTTAATATTTGATGTTACCATGTATCAGAATTATGCATAAATGTTAATGCTTTAAACAATATAATCAAAAGGAATATTTGGTATGAACATTTAGTTGCATTACTTCTTGTACTTCATACAGTTTAAGCACTATTACTAAACTTTACCAAAATGTGGGGCTGTTAATGTTAATTCTACTATCACTGCATAAAGGGTGCATATATTGTATTGTGACCACTGCTACAATGAATATGTAGTATACATAAGCAGTCACAATCAGCAGTACAATACTATTTAAGTAAATCAAACAAATCACAAGTTTCTAGTATAATGAGTATCTATAATTAATAAGATAGGACAAATGTGAAGCATGATGATGAAAAAGAACTTCACACAAATTCACTACACTGAAATTAAACAATCTAGTACAGGAAAACCCGAGGTCAAATAGAAAAAAAAAAAGCCAATTACTTTAAAACATTAAAGCAGAGTATGGAGCTTGTCATAACTATAAAAGAAGAAGAAATAAATAATTTGTAAATGATGAAAAAGCCAAAGTTCCATAACTGAATAACAAATAAATATATAATAATTCTGTTACACACTATTTTTATGACATCATGAGAAGATGTGCCTTGCATACAACTAACAGGTTTGCCTGGCATGATTCTCGTATAGCCAGCAAAATTATCCAATAATCAGTTCTAAGAAGTTAGTTAAAATGTGAGGTACACATCCCAATCATAAAGCTAAGACCTAGTGGTCTAATTATTAACCAACTTCATTCCCAGTAAGGGTAAATCCTGTAATTTATTCAAAAAACCTATGTGTATTTTTCAGTCCATGTATTCATTTAGAAAAGACAAACACACATACTTTAAAAAAGGACAGAGACCAGGTTATGTACTACTTACAACTTAGAATTGAATAGCAGCTATAGTAAGAAAACACAAGCAGACTCTTAACTAACTCTTTTAATAGTAATGTTTAATAATATAAACATGCTACATTTATAAATTTACTTTACATATATCTGTCACTGATATTCAAGGGTACCCCAAGATAACCAAGTAATGTATTGGAAATTGAAAGCTTCACAAATATTAATAAAAGAAATTTGGTTCTGCTAAATCTTATCACAGCTATTAGTCAAAAACCTGTCAAGGAAAATAATAAAATAATCCTCAAGATGTACTTCTTAAAGAGTCTAAACGAGCTACAGTTGCAGAAGCATTTCAGGTTTCAAATACAAGTTATTTTTTACATACATGTTCCTGGAAGCAACCAGGAAAGATTTGGAAACCTAAATGTTTACACTAAGCATTTCTATAACAAAGACAGGGGCTATTTAATAATGGACTGCATGAAGGAAGTCCTCTCAGAACAATCATATTTAGCTCTTAAAATATTTTTCTTCCAGAAATATAAAACATTATAAATACACTTGATTTGAGAGCTTAAGCAGCAAATTAATATGCAATTTGTTGCACACCACTTTACGACAGCAGTTATACAAATTTAAGAAATTCAAAAGAAAGCTAGCATAACAAATTGAGTGTACTTAGTCTTAATCATTTAGATTTTTTTTTACAAACCACTCACTTGAAAATAACCCTCAACTAACACAATCTAATTTATAGTGACACATACATTCAAGAGTTTATTAATTATGAGGCCAATATATGCATATGTTTCACACATTTTTCATACATTAGACATTGCTGTTAAGTGGAAGATGAAATGGTAAACTTATAGTAAACAATGAAGTATTTGAGTGTCAAAAACTTCCATATACTAACTTACAATTAATTAAGTAATTATAGATAAGTTGGATGTCAGTAAATAAGTTACCAGAATAATTCCTGGTTTAAGTCCTTGAAGCAACATATATGAGGAAAGGCTCAAGAATTTAGTACTTGTTTTCTCTAGAACATGGAAAAATTGGGAAGGGAGGGCTTCATTCAGGTGTTAAAAATTGTTAGAGGGGAAGTTAGACAGTCTCCCAGTGGGTTGTCTTTTAGACAAATACAATGACAATCTTTGAGATACAGACTTGAATATCTAGGTTAATAAGTTCAAGTTTTGAAAGCTTAGATGCTGACTTTGTTTTAAGACAATATGTCTTTTAAGAATCATAAACTTATGGAAATCCTTGCTTGTTGATGTGGTTTGTGCTCTTTTAGTGTTAGTTTGAATTTACTGAAAAATTTTCTGGATAGGTATAAAAACAGGAATACATCTAAATTGTCACCTCCTTCTTTGAAGTTATGTTTAATAATAATATAAATGAAAGTTATTACCATACGACTATGGTGTATAATTTCATATCTACTGCAAACTTCAAATGGCAATAACATTTTTCTCATTAATTTTTGTGCAATAACAAAAAACAATTTTGTTACAATAAGTAAATTTTTCAGATTTAATTTCATTTAAACAACAATATATCCAGAATATAATTAACATTTCACAATCACACATAATTTGATGCTATATTTCATACCCAACGAGTTTATTTCGTATTTGTGTAATTTCTTTAACTATCTTAAATAGAATTACTATGAAAGCTGAACTGCTATTTTAGAAATACAGACATCACTATATTACCAGTAAATGGTCCCCATTAACACCTAGCAGTAAAGTGACACCACAGGACTGGAGGTAGGGCAACTCATGCAGCAGTTTGTGTTACATACATATTTTCTCATTTCATAAAGGTATCAATGTAGTTAAATTTATGCAATCTATAATCAGGATAATCCTCCTGGGTAATTGCCTAATTGTTTTATCTTAGTGTTAGGAATTTCATTTTAGATCACTGTTTATAAAGTATTGCTGTCCGATATTTGAGCATTTATCAAAGGTAACAATGGTATGAAACTGGCAGAAATTTTGGTGTTATTTTAATTTTTTTATTACATGTATAGACATTCTATTTAGTTCCCTCAACTATAAAATGCCTTAATTCTATCCACTTTTACTGAGGAACATATAAAGGATTGTTTTGGTATGTTTTTGTTTCTTCTTCAATACATCGAAAACATCTATCAATCCCAGTTTGGAATGGTTTTCAATTTGCATTCTCTTGTTTTCATTTAAACATGCAAAACAAATTAATTTTTCTCATCAACTACAAAAAAAAGAGATTGGAACCAGGACCAAAAGGTCAACTTGTAATATTTGTATTACCCTCGGTAAATGATAAGGTACTAGTTGTAACTTGTCAAGTTGTAGGGCTAATAATCTAAAGCCCTAGTACAAGCAGCTTCTAGTTCTAACTTCTACAAACATTGTCAACTCTCATATCTTACATAAACTCCCTCACAAAACTAATACACCTAAAGCTGCTATTGCTAGTTCAGAGACTTGTTATTTATTTAAATGATGACTTGGTTTAATATGGTCTACCATTACCAGTAAATATCATGAACTCTTAAAACTTAAGAGTTAAACTATATATATATATATATATATATATATATA